AAGAGTCCTTGGATGATAGCACCTCAGTTTCTTGTTTTATGACAACAATGTTTTGTGTCACCCTGAGACATCCACAGCTGTTCATGGGTTTGTTTTATTTACTGCCTCAATCTTAGCTGCTAACCTCTGTGCACAGTCTTATAGCCACTCTGGTTACGGGCGAGGCCCACACATCCCTGGGGCACATTGTGCTAGCACCGGCTGCAGAACTTCTCCTCATGACAAGAAGGCCACCGGAACACATCTTGGTCCTGACTACGGGGCAGCCCGAAACACTTTAGAACTGCATGTGATATTGTGTTTCTTTTTATACTTTGTGCAAAAATGCAAAAAAGTGTGCTCGCATGCATATATAGGAATGCCAACGTACGCATGAGAAGGCAATGGTAAGAGGTGACGCTAAGCGAAACAGTGAAGTTCATAGGATATCTGATTTATAGAGGGATTATTCACATCACGGGCATCCATCTATATTCAAACACCTGCAGGCTTTTATCACAAAAAAAATTAAAAATAAAAACATTTTAATTGCTGGGAAATGTGCAAGAGTTCACTTGTTTCTCACGAAAAACCATGCAATGCTTCATTGCATGGCACGAGCAATGAAGTCGCACCTCGGTTCTGACTTTCTTTTTCTAGGTGAACAGAAACAATTAGTACAACATTTGTTATTTTTGATGCTGTTCCTGGGTTATCTATCTTCAAAATATTTATTCTGAATTTTCTTTGTTTTGAATATTTGTGCATACATAGTGTTTTTTGTTGCACTGTTTACCAGCTGGGAACCGAAAATTACAGACTTTTCACATTTTCATTTCTTCCAAAATGTTTTAATTGCTCTAGACCATATATTTTTTGGAAAGAGCATTTCAATGTGCAAACTTTGGTATGCTGCAATGCATGCTGGAGTACTTTTCAAACTGGCAAAAATTATTACCCCAAGACATAAAAAACAACCATTCTTGTGCGGTAACAAACATAAGTGCTAATAATGGTACACTAAAATGCTAATGGCTTTTCTTTGCTCGTAACTGTAATGAATGCAGTTTTTGATGCCTTTAGCTTCGATCACCATTTATCACACCAGGAGCAGATGGAATGCAGTGCATCGTTAAGACTGGCTTTGTCAGAATGCTGTTTAATGTAAGCATAAATAACACAATCATCTGCAAAACTTTCACAGGCGACTGAACTGATAAGTAAAGATCATTTATGTACACAGAAAACAATAATGGTGCAAGCAACAACCCTTGCGGCACTACTGAATAAATATATAATGTGTCAGAAATGCAGTCAGTAACCAACACATACTGTTTCCTTAAAGACAAATAGCTCCTAATCCAGCAGACAATGTTATGATCAATACCGATAGTGTACAGTTTCATAATTAAATCATGATGTGGTACTACATCGACTGCTTTGAAAAAATCTAAAAACACTGCACCTTGAATTTGGCCTTTAAAGGAGCACTGACATCAAATTTCAAGATTGAGATGTGCCCATCATTCAATCACTTGGTATAGGTCTTTTTGGCCAAATTTGAATGGCGTTCACCGCGTCGAAGTTATTTTATTTCTACGTCAAACAGCGTAGAAAAGCTAAGGAGGAAAAATAAAAAATAGACTGCCCTGCGACATCGACACTAGCACTACATGTTCAGTGTGATGCATTCCACAAATACCATCCTGAGTGACGATACGCTAGCAACAATGACGTCGATGATCTCCGAGTGTGTTTGGGGTCGACTCCCAGCCATGCTCTCACTAGTGGCTCTTCGTGCTGTGTTGAAGCGTGCGTGCGATTCATCGTGTCGCATAAACTGATTTGCGTTGTGCTCCACTGCGTGTGGGTACGATCATTTAGAGTGACAATGCGTGCCAGAATGTCGGGGAACTGCTGTAGTGAAAACCTGCACGTCGAGGCGCGAAAAAAGCAGAAAGTGCGTGGCATTTCATGCCTTTCCAAGCCATGAACCTCATTGCAGCCAGTGGGTTGACTACGTACGCGCCGTTGGACATAGGGACTGGACACCTGTCAATAACAGCCGCATTTGCTGCCTTCACTTTGCGGAAAGCTGCTACAGGGTAAATCCTGTGTTGGCGAACTAGTTGGGTTTCACTGGCAGTACAAGGCCTCTTCTCGAGGCCGGGGCTATTCCTACCAAGTGCCCTGCTGCAGCTGAAAGCAGCGATTAAGTCGCGAAACGTCCGCGACATAAGGTGCGTAGGTGGCGTTCCTGAGCTCCGACAGTACGGCCAGGACTGATAAATAGGTTGACTTTAACGCAGAACTTGTCAAGCAAGAATTGTCGCAAATCGCGGCGATTCCCAATTCCAGGTTGCTGTCATCATCACTTGTCGATGTTGACCGAGACGACGGCGGCGACGATGATGTTGGTGACAAAGGCATCTCTACGCCTTCAGAGACACAGCTGGACTGACTGTATGCGCGCTCCTAGCAGACGAAATGCCAGTGTAACGTCACCAATTTTTGTGAAAGCGGCATCAGCTGTGCAGTGGCCTCGACGTGGCGGCGAGATAGCACTGCCAGCACTACGATTTGGCGGGCTTTCCACACATTTTGAATCGAGTTCGATAGTGAATATATTAATCAATATTACAGACGCTCATTCGTCACTTAGATGCATTTTAGGTCGCGAATCGCTACTAGGGGGTCGATAGCTACTCGTTGACGCAAAAATCTTGACATGAGTAAATTTGATGTCAGTGCTCCTTTGAAATTTAGTGAATTTACAAAATCACAAGTTATTTGTATGATGTGATCGCCGCGGCCTCCTGCACGTATTGGCAAGTTTGTTTAGGGTGCCCAACAGAAAATTCAGAGCCTGCTTACAGGCCCTTCAAGGCCACTGGCCTAATAGAGAAAAAGCATCTACAAACTGAACAAGTGGTGAAAGATGGGCTAGTTGGTACATAACTCTAAAAATGAAAAACACAGTGTGAACAGAGGACGAAGGAAGATGAAACAAGGATGGGCACTGTGCTCATGTCATCTTCCTTCATCCTGTGCTCATGCTGTTTTTTCCATTTTTGAAGAAGTATCTACCTAGAAGATGACGTACAGGCATCAATCCACATCTACTCCTCTGCTCCAGAACATTTTGAAGCTGAATGCATGATCAACAGTTTTGACTTCAGACTAGTGAATAAAAACAAAACATGAGAACCAGCTGAAAGACTCCTTGACATGATGTAGGCTATATTTTACACTCTGCACAGAAATAAATGCTGTTAAAAAAAAAATCACGTTTTTAGATTCTGTATTCATAATTAAAGGCAATAAGGTTTGCACCTTGAAGGAAAAATGTAACCATGCTAAATTTACTGAACGGTCAATTCATGGCATTGAACATGTTTAGGAAAAACGAAGACCATAAAAGTGAAGGGCTCCAAACTAATTTACCAACTGATTTATGTTAACAGGTATCACTATACAGTCGACTCCCATTAATTCAAACTTGAAAAGACCTGTGAATTTTGTTTGAATTATCAAAGTTTGAATAACCAGGAGTTTTCATATATATGGATTTTTAAATTTTTTTAATCGTTTTTTTAAACCCTAACTGCACTCAATGAACAGGGGTCCACAAGTTTATTGGCCATTTATTACTGATCAGACCTCTAAAAAGAAATCGTGATTTGCCACCTACTTCTTTGCTTTACGTGCCTTCAGCACAAAAGCTTTCCATACCTGTTGAGAAGCATCATGATCTACCTTGTGTGTGCTTCATTTACAACATTTGTTGGCAAAGCCTTTTTCCTTGATGGCCTGATGTGCTTATTTTTCATTTTTAGACTGTTAGGATTATGTAAGCGCACAAAGTTTTGTATAGTAGTAGGACTGCAGCAGATATTTTCAGGTATGGAACCACAAAAACTATGAATCAACCGAATGATGAAGTTTGAATGAAGAGGCTTTTAAATATATTGAAGTAATGGAGGGCCAACCAAAAAAATTGAATTTTGTTTCAATTAACCATAAGTATAAATTATCAAAGGTAGATTTATCGAGAGTCTACTGTATATGCAAATCAGTATTTTTGCATATCACCTCTGATGAGATGCAGGCACTGCAGTCAAGAATTCAATTCATACCGTCGTCCTCAGAAGTAGAAAGTTATTACTACAAATTGGTCTGACTAACTTGAATAATGATGAACGGTAATCATTCTAGACAGATGCGACAAGAAATATCGCACTTCCTTAACAGATCACACAGTCTGCTGCATTCCCAATTTGGTTAATGTTCATCCCGATTGCGTAACACATATTTTAAGGTTTCATAATGTCACCAGCCAACTAATCATGGGAGGGTTGCAGATAAGGCTTGTTCATATTGCATACTTAGACGAGAAAAACACAAAGAAGGGGGACGCAGACAAGTGCTTGTCTTTGTACCTCTTTCTCAAATTTTTCTCAAATAAGCATGGCACTGGAGAAATAACTGCCCTACCAAATTGAGCACTGTACTATCATGTTGTACCCTCATTTAAAACATCACTTCGAATCTCACTTGTAGGATTACCTATTTATTTTCGCCTTTGGCTTTGGTACACAAACTGTGCTGACTTTGGTCTTATGGATGGAAAACTAGTCACGCAGGCTAAAGATCTCAATGATGCTGCCAGCTTCATTGTATTATGTTAGCCCAGAATGTAGTGTCCCTACACCACTCTATCTTTCTAATTGACAATATTTTAAAGTTATAGTACATGCTAAAACAACAAAACAATTATGAGACACAATGCATTTTGGGGCTCCGAAAACCTCGACCCCCTAGGGCTCTTTATCATGCACTTAAATCTAGGTACATGAGCTTATGAGACACAATGCATTTTGGGGCTCCGGCAACCTCCACCCCCCCCACGGCTCTTTATCGTGCACTTAAATCTGAGTACATGAGCTTCAAGCATTTCACCACCAGTGAAATGTGACCGCCACGGCCAGAATCACTTTTTGCTTTGGAAAAGATAGACATACCAGATGGAAGCTGTGGCCATGAAGCTGGGGACCAGTCTTGCAGCATGTAGGTAAACCGAATGGTCAATTGAATAGGTGCTGGACTTTGTTGCGACGCATACGACTACAAAAAATTTAGAAAAAATGTGTCACTAGAGGGCAACTTAATTTAAAAGCATTCCAGCAAAATATAATAAATCTCTTCTCCACATGTACTCTAAACACATGCTACATTAGGTTAAGTTCTGTTATGTCACATTACACAAAGCGATCCAAAAGGTGATTGAAAAGTTTCTAGAAAAAAACCTCCAGTGACTTATATACAAGTACCATGGTTTACTACAAGATGGCTAGATAACACCACTTATCAGCTAATCAGCATGCTTTATAGACAATAACTGTTAATCATTCAGAGTGTCTACTTTTGTAATGATATGACGATGCCTAGGCTTTTGCACATAGTACATTTTAGATTCGAAGAAAATTTGAAGACAATAGTAATTTGGTTTTAATAGTTTTAAATTGAATTCTAATAGCATACATCACATAAAAATTATCACATTTGGCATGACCCCACTAACCTGCATAACAGTACTTTTTCTTGAAATTGAAACAAGGCATGTGCAAATGCCATTCTTTTTCGTTCAGAAGAAGCAGAACCAACTTTAGATAGAAGGAGGATCTGACTTTCGGTAAAATGCAAGTGATAACACACATAGTGTACATTTTAAAATTTACTATATTTTGAGCATACAAGTCGGCCTAACAAGCTTTTAAACTTGTTAGGCACTGTGTTGTTGCCCCTGCTGTTCAACATAGCTATGGCGCAGCGCCCAGCCCGCTTGAGTGCTGTCGACGGGGTAAAGCACGCGCTTTATGCCGACGACATCACTCAGTAGGCCACAGAGAGATGCCTGGGCAGCATGGAGGACAGCCTGCAAACAGCAGCCCATATAGTGGACGAATATGTGGCATACTGCGGCCTCCAGTGTTCCTCACAGAAGTTTGAATTTGTGCACCTTCGGCCGTCGGCGAAGTGCACTTCGTCCATTAATCTTTCCCTGTATAGTGGACTTATGAGGCACTTATTAATGAGGCACAAGGGATCCGTGTTCTTGGACTCCACAGTCACAAACACCGCAGGGTCAAGACAACACCTCACAAGCTGCGTAAGTATGGAGAACAGGTGGGCCGCATGGTCCGCCGAGTCTCCAACAAGCAGGGAGGTCTCAAAAGCAAGGATGCGCTTCGTCTCGCACATGCTTTTGTCACTAGTCGCATCTTGTATGTGACTCCGTACCTGCACTTACGGGAGCATGATGAAGATTCCTTGGAAGTCACCCTCCGCAAAATTGTCAAGAAAGCTCTAAATCTCCCGCCAATCACTATTTCCAATGCAAAACTTCTTGCCTTAGGTGTGGTAAACACCTACCAGGAACTCCGGGAGGCTCACCTAACAAATCAATACACCCGCCTGGCGCAGACCCTGTCAGGCAGACGACTCCTAGATTTCCTACACATTTAACATGAATTCCACACTGAGGAGCGGGTACGATTGCCCGAACATTGAAACAACCCCATTAACGTTAGGTTATGTTCGACCCCTCCCCACCAATATGTCCCGTGAGTCGCACGCTGGCCATCGAGAAGCACGAGCTCTTGCTCTCCGGCGCCAATTCGGCTTTAAACAAAACGTATTTTACACAAACATCACCGGCCCTTACCGCAGGGGTTGGTATACGGCTGCCGTAGTCCACCAAGACAGGCAGGTGGATGGTCGGTCATTTCGCACACCCAACGCTACCCATGCTGAAGAGGTGGCCATAGCTTTAGCTATATCACACGACAGTTCTAAAATTATAATATCAGACTCCAAAGGAGCTCGCCGAAATTTTCAACTGGGATGAATCTCACCCCTAGCTGCCAAAATTCTTAAACCTTGTCCGCGGGCAGGTTACCCTCTCCCCGCTCACTAATCTGGACTCCTGGCCATCAGGGCCTCGCAGGCAATGAGGTGGTGCACGCTGCTGCCCGGGCACTCATTCCCCGGGCCACTGCCTAGCCCACCGATGAACCCTGTGATCCAGAGGAGAATATTCCTTTCCTGACTTATAGGGAGATAATTAGTACACATTACTGGGACTCCCACCGTCGTTTTCCTGCTCCCTGCAAAGGACTAAGGAAGGCGGGCGATACAATTTTTCTCCGGCTATTTACCAATACGTTACTGTGCCCGGCAGTGCTTAAACACTTTGACTCTTCCTTTTCCAGCCTCTCTCAGTACTGTGCGGATGTGGCTGACACCTACCACATGGGATGGGCATGCCAGCTCAATCCTTCTTTACCCCCGAACCCAAATACAGCTAGAGAGGACTGGGAGGTGGCCCTTCTCAGTTGCCAGGACCTTCCGGCCCAACGAGCCATGGTCCAGCATACCAGGACAGCGGCCACAACCAATGGGGTCCCTGACTAGGGACTCCACCTAGTACTGTAGGGAAGCTGACCCACTAGAAACTGGTTTACCTGGCAACCTTAATAAATGTTTACTACTACTACTACTACTACTCCACACATCACTATGACATGTGCTCATGTTGGGAATGCCCTGCTCAGTCGTTGGCTGGACGCCTATGACGTATCACTGACATCAGGTCCATTACCGAAGTGGGCAGTATGACAATAATGGGCTACACCTTCTCCTCCCTATGGCGGAGAAGAGTGGGAAGGCCACACGAAAATTTGAAACCAGATGAAATGGATGTTCTAAACCCTGTAACTTCCTTATTATAGCATGTATTTACAAAATTCTTGCAGCAGAATGTTCACATAGTAAAAATGAGCCTATTTATCTTCATAACGATAGTTGAACCTCAGGGTTGTTTACTGGCATCTCTCATTTCAACAAGGAGAGGTGTACGGACGGCTTGTCGCAAAAGGTTTTACTCTCAACCTCAGTGGTGTATGGCGGCTGGCATTGTCAGCAAGATGTAAAGAGGCAGACACCTTTCTTCATTGTGTATACGCGCATCTGCAGCAATGGCATTAGGAGTATATTTTTTTCTTTCTTCTTTTATCTCACGATCAAATCTCTTCTTCTGGCTTATGCACATTTTTTGCGATGCGAACAGGGCAACTAAATTCATTACTTGCTGCAGCTTAGCATCGTTGTTCAGCAGCTGCGGCTCTGCCATGTCAGCTGTGTTGCTCGTGTTTATTATATCGGCTGTGGTTACTGGCTAAGTGTCGTCTTGGTTTATGGTGGCCATACATATTGTAATATAAAATTTCTGTGCATGTTTATTTAGCAAAGCGACTCCACGGATGTCTTAAAATCTCTAGCTTCACCTTTCTACCACTCTATGTTTACCTTCCTCAACTTTTTCAACCATTTTAATGTGAATTATCAACAGTGATCTCATGAACGAATTACACTACTTTATTCTACGTAGCACACCCATGGATCAAATAGTATTCATTGCCCCGAATGACACTTGAACCTAATGACTAGAGACCGGATTATAGGCAAATGCCTATTTTGTTCCTTGCATTCCTATTGTGCCATTTTGATATATTAGCATGAATTAGAGGTTAAGAAGGACTTTTATAGTGTTTTTATAGTGCCTATAAATGCATATTCTGGGTGTTCGTGCCTAAATGCCTATAAGTGCTTATGAAGGCCTATTTTCCAAATTAGTGCATATATGAGGGCTATTCAAGGCCAAATTCTGTTTTCGAGAGTGGTGTGAAACAGTTATTCAGGTAAAAAAGGCAACATTGATATTTACAAACACTATAAGGTTCAACAATGACAATGCTGACATGCTTTGAGCGATTGGAAGAGGAGCATGAGGAGTACAAAAGCCGCTATTTTTGCAGCCCTAAGTGGAAGCATGCCTCAGCGTCTGCACGGGAAGGAGGAGAGAGAATTAAAGATGGGGTAAGGAAACAAAAGTGACGTCTATGGACGAGGACGCGGCGACTGCCCTCTGCAGACAGCTATCCAGTGCCCTGAAGGAATTGAAGAACCGCCCTGAAAACCTGGGTGTTGCAATGGGAAAGGAAGAGCAGGTTTTTCTGAGCAGTTGCGGGTAACTAGAGAACGAATGAAAAACCATGGAGGGCCACTCATGAAATGCTCTTGTTGATTCAGTGGTGGCGAAGGTCGCCAAATCGTTGTACATTATACAGAAAAGCCTGAGACAGGTGCTGGCATGTTTACAAATAACGGTGTATTTAGCATACATTCACTTTATGCTTGAATACGCTTGTTCTGTATGAGATCCCTTGTCATATGTCTTTAAGCGACAAACATGAAAAAATACAGAACAGGGCTTCAAGGTTTGTCCTAAGCCATTACTAAAAAATGACAGCTGTAACAATATAAAAAAAATGAACTAGGATGGGAATTACCATCAGCGCGTCGAATTAAACAGCGGTTAAAGCTCGTATGTCAAGCATTTCACGATAGAACTCGCATTCCAAAATGAATGTACCTAAACAGTCCCTTTCGTGCAATGGTAATTAAGATTTTAGAAGGTCGTATCAGACATAATTTTTCTATTCATATTTTGTTAGATTAATGACAGAATAAAATGGCTTATAGAGAAAACAAAGTGTGTTGTGTCAATGGAGGTGTGTTTTCTTTGACATTGTAACCCACCTGCTGCAGTGCCTTCGGGTAAAAAATGTAATGTGCTTGCAGCTTTTGTTTTGTTTGTAATTTACTTTTTAAGTGTCCCTCTCTAGGTGACATAATAAGTTGTAGTTAGACACTGGAAGTTCTTGCGTGCCCAATGAAAAGTGTTTTACCACGGTGATTTTTCCACGTCACTCCACTGAAACTGCGTTCAGGGGCAATGCGCCAAACACGAGCTAAGCGTTGTCAGCGTTGACAAAGGCATGATGCAGGAATGACGAGAAGACGAAGGCAAGCGAAATGGGAGAGTAGTAGTAGTAGTAGTAATAGTAGTAGTAGTAGTAGTAGTAGTAGTAGTAGTAGTAGTAGTAGTAGTAGTAGCAGGGGTAGTATGTGTGGTATATGTGAAACAGTTATTCAGGTAAAAAAGGCAATATTGGTATTTACAAACACTATAAGGTTCAACAAAGACAAAGCTGACATGCTTC